TTCCTACAGGCTGTATATTGGCTTAGAAAGCCACGTATTAACATTATCTGTGTTTTATTGTATAACATTTTAAACTCCCTTCACCAGGGCAGGTTGGCACCTTCTCTTCAAGTCTTAAGAGTCAGTGACTTGCCCAGGGTCACATAGTCAGTGTCTATTAGACTCAGGTCTCAGCACCTTTCCAGTCTTAATACATCATTCTCCTTCACAAACTCTATGCTTCAGCCAAACTGGCTTTCTGACTCTTCCTCACATGTTACATTTCATCGCCTCTTTCTGAGTTTTTGAGCAGGCAGGCCCCCATGCCTGGAATGTTCTCCCTCTTCATCCAAGTCTCTAATTTCCTCCAAAGCTCTAGTCCCACATGAGACCTTTCCAGATTCCTCAGCTGCTAGTGCCTTCCTGCCCTGCCCCCATTATATTGTATAGATTTTCATATATGCACATGTAATCTCCCCCTAGTAGAATGTAAGCTCCTTGAGAGTAAGAACTTTGTATCTCTAGTGCCCAGCAAGGAGGTACTTATTAAATGTTTGTTAATCGACTACTTAATCCCTCAGTTTAAGACCCTAGTTTTGATAGTGGGTTTCAGTGGCTTTGTAGCAAGCATAGATGCTAGTGAATAGCTCTTCTTCCTCAGGATGACAGGACAGGAGAAGAAGGAATTGGCTTAGCTTGAAGCAAGCATTTCAGCAAGACGTTAGTAGGGATGTATCTGTAGGGAGGGACTAGGACCTATCACTGGTTTCTTTCTCTGGGTGTCTTCTGATACTGAGGGGGCATTCTCTCCAGTGATAAAGGTCACAGCTCCATTTCTCTAGACACTAGTAAGGAAAAGTTACTTTGGGTAAGTCAGGCCCAAAGGTTGGAAGAAGAGAATATGGTATTGTGGAGAGAGTTCGGGAGGTAGCAAGCTCAGTCACTGACCTTGCACACCTATCTGTGCGACTTTCAGCACATCTCTGGCTTCCATTTCCTTAATTATAAGAATGAAAGACAGAAAGATTCCTCTCTGAGGTTCCTCCCAGCTCTGCCTCAAAGAAGCACCACCTAATCACATACTACCTTCATGAAGGGTGAATCTTGACCCCATCCCCCAGGTACCAGTGCACCTCTCTGATCCCAGAATTACTTGTATATCTTCTGCGTTTGTCTGTGTTCGTATTGTTTCTGTGTTTATGTTCTTTGAGGAAAGGACACGTGCTTTTGTTTTTGTATTTGTAATCCGGGTGTCTCAATTGTTCCATAACACAGGGTAGGTGATTAATAAATGCTTATTGAATTAATGAATGAAATCCATCTGAAGCTCCTGAAGCTGGCAGGGTAAGACAAACAGAGGCCAAAGAAAAATTTGCCTAATTTTTCGACTTTTGCAGGGTATTTGGATTAGTGGCTTGGCAGTTTAAAGAGAGCAACATGGAGCTTGGCTCCTCTCTCGCCTGGGTCAGCATGAAATTCAATTGAGCAAACATTCCTATTCCTACTGTGTGCAAGGCCCTGGCATCATAGGAACCCACCAAACATGCTTCATCAAAGTCTTCCTACATCAGGAGTCGAGCTTTTTCTGTCTTTTTCCCAAGCATCTTTGCCTTCTCCCATCTTTTTCCTCCCTGGCCCATTTCTCAAGGTGAGACTCGAAATGTGACTTGAGCTCTTGCACATGTGGGTCATGCAAATGGATAGGAAAGAGAGTCTGTTGATTCACAGCCCTCCGGCTTGTTTGCTCAGCTCCTCCTAGAGTTTAAATTGTTTTTCTTCTCTAAAGATTCAGTATCTCCTGTATCTTTCATCACTCCGTTCCCTCCTCCCAACAACTTGCAAATTCACGCCCGTGTAGACATTTTTTATTTACAAGGAAATGTTGCCAGGATTTTGACTTGTTAGTAGAATAGGGATGTCAAGGGTGGGGGGAGGGGAGGGCAGACAAGAATAGTTTAAATGATGACACTTTCTGAAACTGAGATCAGATTTGATGGCTGCAATGAGCTCACCTAATTAGAACATAGTTAATTTTCCTTTCCATGTTTTTAAAGGGAGGTGGTCATTGCCTGAGTGAGATAGTTTCAGGTTTTATATTAGAGGTGTGTGTGAGTGTGAGTGTGTGTGTGTGTGTGTGTGTGTGTGTGTGTGTGTGTTATGAAGATGGGAACATTCATTGCAATTCTCAATATTGGAAAACAGCTCTTGCCTGGGAGAGAGAGGAAGGTGGGTGAGTGGGTGGAGGTAAGAGCCAGCCAGCTCTAGGAGAAGGAATGGAAGAATCATTCTGGTGCAGTTCTCGGCTAGACAAGGACTTTTCCAGGATCTAATGGACTCAGAGAGCAGATGGATGTTTGCCCTAGGGCTCAGGAGGGAATCTCTAACTAAGGTTGCACTTTTAAGAACTGCCTGAGACCCTAGGCACTACTTAACAACATTGGCATTTTGGTGATTAATCTATTTTAGAAAGTTATCCAGCCCTGTGGGAGGCTCCTGGTAGTCTAAGGAACAGGGGGAAACTTCTTCTTTATAGCTTTTCTCCTGTTTACTTCCAGTAGTCTGGCCCTGTCCTTCAGCTTGTATTCTTCCCTTTGCTCACTATGGAAGTCAATCGATCAATTAATAAACAAGAATTAATTACCTATTATGTACCAGACACTCCATCTCCTATCTCTGTGTCTCTGCCACTGACTCTCCCTCATCTATGGAATGCTTTCCCTCCTTCTCTCTTAGAATCCTTAATTTCCTTTGAGGCTCCGACCAAGTACCCCATTCTACATGGTCTTTCCTGATTCATCTCCCATCTCCAAGTCTTTGCATTGGCTTTTTCCCTGCCTGGAATACTCTGCCCCCTTACTTCTTGTATTCTCATACTGCCTTTAAGATTCAGCTCAATTCCCAGGAGGCTTTTCTTCCCCGGCTGCCAGGTCTTTCCCCCTTGAAATTCCTTCCATCCATTCTATGCCTATCTGGCATGTATCTAGGTATTTACATGTTTCTGTCCCCATGAGAATGTGAGCTCCTGCAGCCCAGGGACTATTTTTGCCTTTCTTTGTATTCCTAGAACATACATAATAAACGCTTGTTGACTAGGATTGATGGACAGTGTGAGGTGCTGAAGATACCAAGACAAACATGAAACAGTCCCTACCCTCAAGAAGCCTACATTCCATTTGGCCTCAGATGTTGGCAGGCCAGATGCTACTATTTTGATGTCTCTCTCTCCACCAAATTACTTGTCTCCTTCAACACCTTCTAAAGCTGTGTGATCTCATTCGCTTAATGGGGTTGGATATATGCTGCTTTCAGGCCAGGGTTGGAAAAGCTGCCTTACTGGAGACAAGGGTGTGGGGAATCTTTGAAGGTCTGAGTGCCTGAAGTTGGGGTAGGATCATCAGGTTGTAGACCTAGACCTCTGAGGCCAACTAGCCCAACCCCATTATTTTACAGAGGAAGAAACTGAGGCTTAGAAAGGTAAAGTGACTTACCCAAGGTCTCCCAGGGAAGCATCAGAAGTAGGATTTGAACCCAGGTCCTCTCAGGAGAGTGGAGTTTGTTAATGAATAAAAACAGAAACCACAGGAGGAGTTTCCTTATAAAACACCTACCACAGTTAGGTGGCATCCCTGCCTTCCTTCCACCTTCTCTCACTTCCTGCCCTCTCCCCCAAAATTTACTACTCACCCCAACTTCTCCTTTCCTCCATTCTTCCTACTTGTTTCTTGCTTTCTCCAGTTCTCCTTCTGAAAATAAAATTGATCGAGTCCTTTGCAACTCAAAAGTTATCTCCCCCAGGTGGCTGCTACCCCTCCCCCCACTCCCTCTTCACCTACAGGGAGGATTCCCCTCCCTCTGGAATCCTCCTGAACAGCTAGTTTGGCAAAGTGGGGGGAGAGTGGATACAATGTGAAGACTGAAACTTTGGGTTTTGTGGGAGACACAATTTGGTAGAGTGAGCAGATGGATCCCTGACAATTACTAGCTTTGTGTTCTGGGGTGAGTGAATTAACCTCTCTGAGCCTCAGTTTCCTCATTTGTAAAATGTGTATAATGATAGCGCCAACCTCACCAGGGTTGCTGTAAGGTTCTGATTAAGTAATGTATGTAAAGGGATTTGTAAACCTTAAAGTGCAACATAACTATCAGCTGCAATAATATATAATAATAATAAATGCAATATAATAATCTGAAAGAGGGATTTCATTGATTTTGAGAAATGGTGAGGAGGAAACTGTCAGTGCATGTGGGCAACTGCTGTGCAATTCCTTGTTTCATAGAGGTTCTTAACCTGCAGTCCATTAATTAAAAAAAAATACAAACTTAATCTAATAGGTTTCTTTTGTAATCCTGTGTATCTTATTTTAAGCATTTAAAAACATGGTTGTGGAAAGGATCTCTTTCAGACTTCCTCAGAGGGCCCCAGAGGGCCAGGACATATAAAGTTAAGAACTCCGCTGTTAGAGGGCTCCCCGGGTCTCTGAAAGGTTGGCTGAGGTAATGAGGCTAGTTTGAATCAAAGTCTTGAATGAGGATCCAGAAGTTCTAGACTGTAAGGCTGGCTCTTCCCACCACGGCCACGTTGCATATTATCCACGATCATCATTCATATCATCGTTATGGTTATTGTTATTATTATTAAAGGGAAGAGGGGGCCTTCCACTTTGCCTCCAAACCTTAGGGGCTGGGGAGTCGTGCGTTCTTTCCAAGGCCCTCCCCAGCCGTGCTCTGGCCTGGATCTGCGATAGCCTTCTCCCTCCTTCCCTATAGGAACCTCCTTCTCTTACGGAGGTTCCCAAGCTACTGGGCACCTGAACCTACGTTAACCAGCTCTCTTCCTGGCCCCCCTTGGGTATGGCCAACTCGGCCCTGAAGCTCAGAGGATGGGGGTGGGGGGAGAAGGAAAGCGAGCTGACCGGCCACGCCCCCGCCCCGCCTCCGCCCCGGAGGAGGGGGAGGAGACTGAGACTGGGACTCAGAGCGGGGCCGCTGGCAGCGCAGCGGGGCCAGAGCACTCGGGAAGCCGCCGCGGATAGGGGTCCGGGGCGGGGCGGCCCAGGGGCGCCCTGGCGGCGGAGCTGAGCTAAAGCCGGGCCGGCCAGCCCGGGACGGGACGAGGGCTGGGGGAGGGAGGAAACCAGGAAGGAGAGCGCAGGCAGGACAGGGGCGGGGGCTAGAGCAGAGCCTAGAGAAGTTTGCCCATTGCCCGCGGCGGCTCCCGGGGGCCATGGGGGCTGGAGCCCGCGGCGGCGGTGACAGAGGAGGAGGCAGCGGCGGAGGAGGCAGCGGCGGCGGTGGCGGCGGCGGCAGCGGATGCGGCTGGACGCGCTCGGTCTCTAGTTCCCTCGGCCGCGGCGACGGCGGCTCGCCTGCGTTGGCTGCGCTGGCTGCGCCCTGCGCGCACGGAGCCCCCCGGAGCGGCGCCGGGGCCACCGCGGAAAGTTAACTAGCCCGGCGCGTCGGGGCCCGCGCGGGACGCTGTTGGCCATGGGTGAGCACCCTAGCCCGGCCCCCGCGGTGGCCGCCTGTGCCGAGGCGGAGCGCATCGAGGAGCTGGAGCCCGAGCCCGAGCCTGAGCCCGAGCCCGAGCCCGAGGAGCCGCTGCCCATGGCCCCCGAGGACGTAAGTGCAACTTTCGGCAGCGGGGGGCTAGCCTGAGCTCGCCTTCTCTGCGCTGCCTTTGGGAGCAGCAGAAGAGGGAGGACAACCCTCCCCCCTTCTCTCCCTTTTCCTCCTCCTTTTCTCCCCTTCTTTCTCCCCTTTCTTCTTCTCCTCCCTTCCCCTTTCCATACCTTTCCCCATAACCAGAAGGTTGCAACTTGGTGGCTTCAAGGTGAAGCAGAATCCATGTGCCTCCCCAAGGACAGAAGTATTGAGACGGGGGCCTGTTACCCGGAGGGAATGAAAGGAAAGGGTCCCTGCTCAGATCCTACCACCTAGGAGCTGGCCCACACTTAGTGCTGAAGCTGCCGGATCATCTGGTCCACCGTCTTACCCATCGCAGAGTGGACTCTAATTCCTCAAGTTCTAACCTGCCTTCCTTTCCCCAGGGATCCCAAGGGTTCTCCATTCCCGTTCCTGTGCCCCCCGCCCCACCTGGGTCCCTTATACTAGGCACCTGGGATGGAACCCAGGATTCCGGGATCCCCTTCTTCAGCAGAGCCCCCTCCCCGCGGATGGTGCAGTGCCCGGGACACACAGTTTTCCCGCAGAGGCAGAGACGTCACCAAGACTGACTCCCCCTCCCCTCCTCACCCCGCAACTCATGACCTATGAGACACTTTGAATCCCCAGAAGCACCATGCCGCTGCAGACTCCTCCTACACGGTCCCTTTGCAAGAGATACCCTCTTGGTGACTCCCCTCTCCTCTCCCATTCACAGTCCCCATGGATACAGTTTGGGGGGAGGGGTGATGAGTTACTGTTCACCTTTGTAGCTCAAGCAAAATGAGACATTGGGATTTGAATTTAGCCCTACCACTGGAATCCTGGGAGCACTTGGGGGGGGCGATAAAATTGCTCTTAGTATATGATTCCAGAGCTAATGATCATATGGATTCTGGGGAATAAGGACTGTGATTTCTGGTGTGGGGGAGGGGCTGCCTCAGAGGTGCCCCATTTCAGAGGGCTTCCCCAGGCTGGCTGCCGAATGGGGTTGCATTTCCTCTCTGCCAAAGGTGGAGTTTGACTATTTGGTGTCTTTCCAAGAAGAGCCCCCATCCTACCTCGGTTCTTGGTATGGAACAGAATCTTTGCTGATATGGGAAAAGAGCTACCAGCATGGCCAGAACTAGGGAGGTCTGGTGTGGCTGAAGAGAGTTTCTTAATGACTTTCTCAGAGAGCTGCAGAGGATTCCCCAGGAATACAGATTAGAAACCAGCCTAGCCACCCCTATTCTTTGCTCAGGGGCCCCATGTGCTGTGTCTGCCTGGATGCCAAGTGTATGTAGGCAAGAGACCTGTTGACCTTTGTGCTGACCCCACAGACCCATCTGGATGTACCATAAATCTGGGGCAGCTCAGATTATCCTTGGGTTGTCTCTTTTGCTTCTGTAGTTAAGCAGAATCCCTCACTCCCACTTGCCCCAATGCCCCAGGCTCTGTGTGTCTACTTAATTTTCAAATGCTTCCTCAGAGCATTTGTTAAGTACTCACTGGTTGATCTAAAACCTAGGTTTGCTGCAAGTTCAGGATCCCTGCCTTCAGAGAGGTTGCATTCTCTGAAGGCTGGGTGCATGGGGAAGAGGGACTGCTAGTGACCAGTCTTGGCAGATGCTGTGTCTAATAGAGTTAGGGTCATTGTACCCCCAGTTAATGTAACTCATGCTGGGCTTATCTCTCCCCACTCCCTTTATCATAAGATTGAGGTATTCTCTCCCCCATGCCACAAAGAGTGGTCCCCCTTTGCCCTAAGAAAAAACAGAGTTTCTGCCCTTTCTCCTCCCTGTGTTTGGTGCAGACAATAACTGGGGGTGGGGTGGGGAGGAGAAATGGGTTGGGGAGGAATAGGGCTGCCCAGTTCACTGGCTCTCCTCTAGTATCTCATTGCCAATTCTGCAGCCTGGAGACCAATCTAATGCAGAAGCTGGGAGGCCAGATCAGCTGCATTTCTAATGTTACAGATGCCCTAATGCTGAGCATTTTTTTTCTCCTTTTCCTCCTCTTCATCCTCCTCTTCCTCTCCTCTCCTGCACGGCTTCCCTCTCTGTCAGCACTGGAAAGTCCTGTTTGATCAGGTATGTGAGCAGTTAATTCAGCCCCCCCCCCCCCAGTTTCCCTAGCTCTCCCCTCCCCAGGACTATCAGTCTTCCTGCTGCGTGGGTTTCCCAGGCTTGGCTGCTCACGGAGATGATGACGTCGGGCTGTGGGTGTGGCTTGATGTGTTTCTGATCTCCAGGCATCAAAAGGAGCCGTGCTCTCCTCCTTGGATGGGTCTTTCCCCTGAGGACGGTGCCCTTTCCTCCAAGCCTTTCCTTACTCCCACCCCAAAATCCACCGAAACCTTAGATGCAGATCCTATTTAACCCAAGGGAAAATTATGGCTGATGATTGATCGGCCTGGGGAATTCTTTGCACTCCAGTGGGTTGGAGTTGTGGGGAGTGCTGGGACAACATGGGTGGGTTAGCCTCCATCCTAGGATTATCACTGATCTCCCAGGGTGACTCAGAGCATTCCATTTAAGGGCTGAGTCACTTACTTCACTCAAGGCTGGGGGGACATGGGGGGCGGGGAGCAGTAGCCAAGGTTGGGCAATGGGATTATCTGCAGTATTTAGGATTGCAGTGGGGGGCCAGTGTGTTTGGAAATCTTGGGTTAGAGCTTTTAAGCCCTGAAATAGAAGCTCTGACCTTCAGGAAGGAAACCACTCTGTCCTTGGGCAGCATCTTTTAAAATCCCTCCCTTTGAGGAGACCACATAATGGATAGGTGCAGAGGAGGCAGCAGGCCAGTCCAGGTTGGGCATTAAAAAAAAAATAGAGAAGAGGCATAAGCAGTGGGCCATGGAATCGACCACTCAGATTACAGCAGAGGGTCCATGTGGGGGATCCAGAGAGTAGATACAAGGTAGATACACGGTGATTTGAGGGGATCACAGGTAGAAAAGGAGAGATAGGGCCAGCTTGTGAAAGACCTAGAATGCCAGGTGAAAGCCATGGGCAAGTTCATTCCCTTCTTGGCACCTCAGTTTCCTAAATTGTCAAATCAAGTGTTTGGACAAGATGATATCTGAGGTTCCTTCTAGTTGTAAATGCTTTGATCTTATAACATAAGCCTGTAGGTAATTGCTAGTTTTTGAGTGGAAGGTGGAGAAGGGGATGTTTCACCTGCTAACTACCAAGTTTTAGCATGTTTAATCTGGTAATGGTATGTAGAATGAACTGGAGGTAGAAAGAGAATGGAGGCAGGGAGATGAAGAACAAAAATATAGAACAAGTGTGAAGTAGTAGGAGCCTGGACTTGGGCAAAACCAGTAAAAATGGACAGGAATGAACCTATGAAGTGGAGACCAAGAAGGAATAATTAGCGGGACTCTGTCTGTGTGTGTGTGTGTGTGTGTGTGTGTGTGTGTGTGTGTGTGTGTGTTGGAGTTAGGATGATGGGATCATATATTTGATATATTTGGAGCTGGAAGAAAGGGCCTTAGAGGCCATAAAGTCCAACCCCTTTATTTTATAGATGAGGAAACTAAGGCACAGAGAGGTTAAGGGACTTGCCCAGGGTCATGTGGCTACTGTCTGAGAAAGAATTCGGAACTCAGGTCTCTAAGTCCAATACTCTTTCCATTACTCATATTGCCTTCCTCACTTCCAACTCTCACAGTCTTTAGCCTCCCTCAGAACTCAGCTCCAAAGGGTACCTACTACATGATGTCTCTCCAGCTTATCTTCTCTCTCAGCTGCTAAGGATCCCCTCAAATTACCCTGCCTCTACTTTGTATCCACTTTGCTATGTACTTCTCTGTCTATGTGGTATTTTCCCTAACAGAATGTAAGCTCCTTGAGGGTAAGAATTGTTTTGTTTTTATCTTTGTATCTCCAGAACCTGGAAAAGGGCTGATGAAAAGCAGGTGCTTCATAAATGCTTCTTTGATTGAGGATTCTCCTTGGTTTTGAGCCAGGAAAGCAGGTAGTGAGGGAGGAGCCTTTTTGGAGGAGGAAGAGAAAGAGTTCAGTTTTAGATGTGTGAGATTTGAAGCCGCATCCCAGTGGAGATTTCCAACTGTTATGGGTCTGAAGAATTAGAGCTGTAGAATTTGGGAGTCCTTGTCCTTCCACTGAGGGTCCCCTAGGGACAGGTACAACAGGGTGGGCCATGGCTTCTCAAGGATGTGAGTGTGGCTTGCACAGCCTTTCACACCTGCTTGATTTAGAATTTGAATAAAGTCTATTCTCTCTCCTCTCTCCTATCTCTTCCTCTTCCTCTCTCTCTCTCCTTCTCTCTCTCTTTCTCTCTCTCTGTTTCTCTCTGCCTCTCTCTCTCTCTGTCTCTCTCTTTTTCTCTCTGCCTCTGTCTCTCTGTGTCTCTATCTGTCTCTCTCCTATCTCTTCCTCTCTTCCTCTCTCTCTGTCTCTCTTTGCCTCTCTCTGTTTCTGCCTCTCTCTGTCTCTGTCTCTATCTCTCTGTCTCTCTCTCATTCTCTCTCTCTCCCTTCCTCCCTCCCTTTCTCCCTCCTCTCTCTCACTTCCCCTATCTATCCCTCTCTCCTCTCTCCCTCTCTCCCCTTATCTGCCTCTTTCTCCTGCTGTCTCTTCCTCTCTCCCTCCCCCATGTGTCTTCCCATTTCCCCTTTCTCCCCCTCTTCTCCCCCTTCTTCCCTCTCTTTTGTCTGTCTCTTTAGTTCTGTTAGATTGTGTGTATTTACATTTTTGGATAGACTATTTCTATTGATTTTGAAAAACTATTAAGAGAGGCCTGGGGGATACCTAGAGGACAAATGTGGTTGTGCTAGCAGGGATACTAGATGATCCTTGTTCCTGGAGCTAGAAGGGAACACTGGAGGTCATCTTTTGATATCTCTGCAGCCCTCCCTTCCCTGAAACTAAACCATCCTAGACAAACAGGAAACAAGTCTCTTCTTAAAGACCTCTAGAAAATGAACTACTGTAACCTCTCTCAGTTAATCCATGCTCAGAATGTTTGGCCCTATGTCTGATCTCCAACCCACTTTGTTTTGTAAATTCCTGATGATTCATTTCATAGGATTCTAAGATCATAGATCTAGACCTCCAATTCCCTCATTTTACAGATGAGGAAACTGAGGAACTAAAAGGCTAAGTGAAGTCACACAGGATGTAAGTGTGAGGGGTGGAATTTGAACTCCTCTAACTCCAAATTCACTGTTAGTTCTCCTACACCACATTGCCATGACCATTTCCTTCTGTTTTGTCCTGTCAGTGTTCTCCATGTTGATAGGGTTGTGATTTCCCCTCAGTTGATAGGGTTGGGGGTGGTGGGGTGGTGGGACTTGACATTCATCCTGTCTGTGTTTGAGAGTTTCTCTCCTTTTTAGGGCAGTGAGATAACTGGACCATTCCCTGACTTGGAGGCAAGAGCCCTGGGTTCAGATCTTGCCTCTGACTCTCACTTGGGCAAGTCACCTAACTTTTCTGAGCGTGTCATTTTTCTGATCTGTAAAATGAGGGTATTGGACGACGTGGCCTCTAAGAGTCCTTCCAGCTTTAAATCTGTGATCCTCTGATCTCACCATAGGACCAACGGAAGGGCAAGGAGTTTTACTGGAAATGTATTTGATAGGATTTCACTCAATCCCTTTTTTCTTCCTTTGGCCCTGGTTTATGGTTAGGTAAAGGGGTTGGTCGGTCTGAAGTGTGGAAAGTTTGCAGAGGGGCTGGGTGAATCTCATCCCCACATTTCATCTCCATATTTTGGTGCAGTGCACTGGGTCCAGAGTCAGGAAGACTTGAGTTTGAATCCGGCACCAGACACTTACTAGCTGTGTGACCCTGGGCAAGTCACTTAACCCCTGTTTGCTTCAATTTCCTTAACTGTAAAATGAAGATAATAATAGCACCTTTCTCCCAGGATTGGGAGAAGCAAATGAGGTATTTGAAAAGCAGTTAGCACAGTGTTTAGCAAAAGTAGGTGCTTACTAAATGCTTATTCCTTCCTTCCAATTATAGTGTATATAAAGTGCCTTTCAAATCTTATGGTGATATAGATTAGATATAGATATAGATATAGATATAGATATAGATATAGATATAGATATAGATATATAAAATATGTATATACACATAAATATATACCCCTATGTTTGTTATTATTTTTGAAGACAGCTAAGTGGAATATTACATGCCTGACTTAAGAGTCAGAAGACGTGAATTTAAATCCGAAATTACTCCCTGAGTCACCTTAACTAAGTCACTTAATGCAACTTCATTTCAATTTAGTTTCCTCATCTGTAAAATAGGTGTAATAATAGGACCTACTTCCTAGAGTTCATGTGAGGACCCACAGAGATGTAAAGGTCTTTGGCAACCTTAAAATGCCCTAGATGCTCCTATTCCTTACAATTATTACAACCATTGCTTAACACAGAGAGGGGGAGATGAGTCTGCCACAGACTGGCCAGTGAAACAGCATTTGAATTCTAGTTCTCAGATCCCTTCACATACAGCACAGACATAACCGGGTGTATCTCCAAAGAGGTCAGGAGAAAGAAACTGGTTTAATAGGAAATTCCTAAGTGACCTCAGGCAAAATCGCTTCAACTTTCCAAGCCTTTGTAACTTATTTGTAAATCGAGAGGATTGGACTAGATGATCTCTGAGCTCCCTTCTAGATTTAAAGGATTCTGTGATCCTGATGACTCCTTTGGTCTGTTTCCTCATCTGTAAAATAAGGGGGTTGGGCTAGTTCTGAGGTACCTTCCTGTTCTAATTCACACTGTGGGCCTCAGTTCTCTCATTTATAAAATGAGAGGTTGGGCTCTTGAACTTTTAAAGTCCCCCAAGTCCAAATCATTGATCTCATGAGCTAAGTCCTTCATATACAGACGATGACGGGGCCATTGACTTATTTGCTGTCAATGGGGTACACAAACTTAGAATTCTGTTTCTGGGGGTGGGGATAGATTTGAGTTGATGGGTCTGCGATCTCTTGTCATCGTCCTTGTTCCCTGGATTTGTGAGATGCTTGGCCTCGGAAACAAAGAAGCAATTGGCCCACGTGGCATCAGACCCATGACCTTTGCCTTGTTAGCCTAGTGGAATAA